TCTCTTCTCAGACTCTCTGTGAGTCCCTGGTGATTAAGCTTTGTCATTACGGGTCAGGAATACATTTTACAATATATGAAACTAGATAGCATTTATGTTCAATTGTATTAACATTTCACAATGAAATACACAAAACTGGTTTACTGTATATTTTTGATTAAAAAAATGCATCCTTGGTGAGCATAAGAGACTTCTTTCAAAAACATAAAAAAAATCTAACCCGACAGTATGTGTGTTTAATTCAGCCAGTTTCATATGCATATGCAAACAGGCTGGAGTTGGGCACAGCCAGATCAGCGCTCACCACATCAGTGCTGAGACAGGGAGAATATTTACGAGTATGTTCATTAGTCTCAGCAACTCAGACTGAGGTGCTGTGCTGACGTTAAACCCAACCCACACCAGAGCAGCAATGTTACAGTCTGTTCTCTGAATCTCTTTGTCTTTTACGTATATACATCTTTCTCTATGTGCTGTAAAAAAGGCTTGTTTATCTTTGCCTTCTAAATTCAGCTCTATTTCCCAACCCCCTCTCGCTGCCTCTTTTGTTCTATTTGTATCCCTCGCTCTTTTACCGAAATGTTCTCTTTTGGTTTTTTGTACTGTAATTAGTGTGGTTGACATCAGCAGTGCACTATGGCCTTTAAATTACACAGCAGGCTGAATGTATAGGATAAGAGTATGCTGTCCGTTTATGACAGGCCTGGATTGGTGCACTTAAACTGATTTATCTAATCCTCTTCTCAAACGGGGTCTATGGGATTCAGAACATTATTGCATTTAGATATCCTCCTTTTAATTGAAAATGTAATCGTTTAATGACTTTCTTTTTTCAGTGGCACACAAAAGAAGTTAGGCCTCAATCATCATTCACTTTCACTGAATGAAAAAAAAAAAAGATGCAGTGAAAATGAATGGTGACTAAGACATATTTTGTGTTCCACAGAAGAAAGAAAGTAAAGTATCGGTTTGGACCGACATGTGGGTCATGTGAGTAAATAATGACAGACAGGATAAAAAATTTTAGGTGAACTGTTTACCTAAAGTGCTTTGTGAGACTAGCTGATGTGGTGCAGACAAGGATTGTGGGAGCTAAAGTACTGTGGCTTTCAGAGGAAGCACTGACTATTTGATGAGCACTGTTTTATGGGCTAGAGAGCCATTCAGCCAGTCAGGGTTCATGACTTTGTATATCATATTACATCTTCCTGACAAAAATGCTTTACTGCTGCCAAATGAATCTTCGTAACATCTTCTGAAAGAATGTGAATCCCTCACATTTTGACAGATATGGTTTATCTCTACATTCCAAAAGCAAGATCTAATGATTAAGGACGGATCTAATATATTATTTTCATAAGACTTACAGCATCCATTAATATTTATTGATTTGACCATATGGAAAATATACTTATTTACTTTTATTGATATCTAAAGAAAAGTAAACCTTAGCACACACACTAGGCTATGTATACATATCTATCTATCTATCTATCTATCTATCTATCTATCTATATAGCGAGAGAGGGGGGGGGATTGCTCAGCCAATTTGCTGTGGGAATTAGGAAGAGAAGAGTGCTTCACTAGAGGAATGGATACTGTCAGGAAGATCTATAAATCTCAACAGCATTTACAGTAATGGACCTCAGTCAGCACAGGACTCCAGTCATTTCTTATGAACCCCGGACTAAACACAACAATCAGCACTAATAAGAACTCATTTAGAGCATTTATTAAGGTTGTCAATCTTCCTAAATGACAACAAAAAATTACTCGTGCACTGTAATCCATGGGCCTCATTTATAAAGCGTGCATTTAAATGTTAAATAAACTCTAAAATCCATGTCAAAGACCGTTTCTATAAATATGAACGTTGGCATTGATTTTGCATAAGCACACTTCAGGGTCTGAGCAGACTTACGTACTTTTCCTTGAGTTTGAGGACGTCTCGGTTACGGATGTAACCCTTGTTCCCTGAGTAGGGAATGGAGACATTACGTCAAATTACGACGAATGGTGTTCGCTTAGAAGTCTCTCATCTTTGAAAGAATTAAAACAAGCCTTTGGCTAGGAAATGCCATGCGTCTGCTGAATTTGCATGGCGTAACTCCGCCCCACCACATGGGTAAAAAAGGAGAACGCCAGCAATATGCAGATACGTTTCTTCGCTGAGGAGCCAAGACTGAACTCAGCTGTTCCAGCTGTACGTCTCCATTCCCTACTCAGGGAATGAGGGTTACATCCGTAACCGAGACGTTCCCTTTTGTTGTCACTTTGACTTATGTCGAATGATGACGAATTGGGTTCCCAGTCCAGTCACATCACCTCGGCTGTCTTCCAGTGCCCTGCATAAGTCTGAGCTCCCTGTCGTGTGACTAGCATGGACGAAGGACTCTTACTTAGCACAGGAATACCAAGGTACACTGGGAAGCATATCTCAGTGGAAATATGCAATCAGTGCCTGCCCGAATGGAGGACTTGCAGAATACACATATGACCCGGAAAGGGGGGTGCATATGGGGAGTACTGGGGTGTCCAGCCCGAAGGGTGGCAACCCCAGGGGTGGCAGAGTGGCTTGCCAAGGGAAAGACACATACTCAGGGAGGTTTACCGTGGAAATACACATGTGGGTGTCACCCAGAGGGGGAACCATGCACATGGCAACACCTGGCCAATCGCGAAAGTTGCCAGAGGCAAAACTCTGGCGTTGACGTCAACAGTGCTGGAGGAACTCAGGACTTGTGTGGCTCACCTGTTGCTGCTGGTGTACCAAAGCAATGTCGTCCACTATCCAGTGAGACAACCTTTGCTTGGAGAGAGCCTTTCCCTTCAGCTCCCACCATAACAGACAAAGAGCTGGTCTGAGGTCCTAAAACACTGCATTCTGTCTACATAGGTGCTGAAAGCACATACTGGACAGAGCAATGCCAAGGATGGGTCTGCCTCCTCCACGGGTTCCACGAAGAGGTTCCACTTCAATGCGTAGGCATGTCTGGTGGACAACCCTCTAGCGGAAGTGATGGTAGCCACCACCGCTGGTGGTAGGGTACTTACACCTACCTCGCCCCATCCAGCAGCCACATGTGAAGGTTCCAGATGAGGAATTGAGTCTGACGAGACATCATCTCCAGAGGACTCCAGCTCACTTTTTGATGTAGCGATATACTTTATTTCATCAGCCAGTGGACCGAATGAGATTGCGGGTCGGCTCGGGTCAGCTTGGGTCATTAGCGACTGATTCAGAACCGCGCAGGTTGCAATGTGAAAGACGGGGTGTGGGCCGAGGATATTTCGTCAATTTAGTTCCAGACCTGCTGTCTTAGGTTACCCTGGCCACCAGCCGAAATATTATGTTGCGTGGAAAAAAATTGGTTTGGGTGTGGATGAGAGGACTCTCACTCTGTTGAGCTCATCGAGTCTCGACTGTTACATTGTGATGGTCATGTTCCCACTTGGAGAACGTGATGCATCCACGAACGCTGTCTGAATGTGACCGAAGCCCAAACACGTCAAACAGCACTCGTGCCCATCAGCTGAATCTATCAGAATACCACACTCAGAAATACACAGGCAGACCGTCTTTAGAAAGACGTGCCGTGTGCACACTCTTTTTGTGAGAGAAAATCTTGCAGCACTGCAGAACTGCAGTTCTGGAAGAGAGGTGCACACACGTTTGTTCTCTAAATCACACGTACGCAGATCACACGTTTGAGAGAAATTATCTTAAAGCTACACTGTGTAACTCTTTTAGTTTATTCTTAGCTAAAAACACTTAGTTTTTTCTAAAATATATGTGCTCATTAATGCATATGTAATTCGTTCAAGTAATAAAGTATTCTCGTGAGTGTATAATATGCCATTGAAAATACATACGGGTAAGGGGTTCTAATGTCAGTCGCCATGTTGCCCCTCCATCTTGAAAGTACATTAGGCAAAAAGGGACATACCCGTTAATTCAAGCTTCGCCTTTCACTGTTACGTTTGAGTTAACACTGATGGACGAGGTCGAACTGGAAGCCATGTTTATCTTGGACTACATTGGCCACCATAGGAGTTAAAATGAAATCGGAATTGAGATGAACAGAAACTAATATTCACTGGATGATCATATACCTTGTCACTGCTAGATGGGGGTAAAAATCACACAGTGTATCTTTAAGATAAAATGTTGGACGGTCTATGCCTCAATTTTATAAACGAGGCCCCATGTCTTTTAGAGCCTTTCAAATTGCTTTGTTTAAGGAACAGACCAAATAAATATTTCAATAAAGATGAACAATCTTCCAAATTAAATCTCATTTAGATTATTTGAACATGCATATTTATTTTAATTTTTTTTTACATTTTATTTAGATTTTTGAAAATGTACATGATATGACAGAATTTTGGGTGTACTATTCCTTTATACACTTTAAAAAAATAAAGCTTCCAAACGGGTGTTTACGTAGCGATACCTGTAAAAAGTGATCAGTTGACTGACCGATTAAGTTATGTGAACTTGGCAAGAACTAATTTTTTCAACTACGTATTGAGTTTATTTACTTAATAATATTAAGACAACAGGTTTCTTCACTTTTTTAAGTTACGTCAACTGATCACTTTTGTTAGTATAGAAATACTATGCTTGGGTCCCCAAAGAACCTTAAGTGAACAGTTCATAATAGAACCATTTTTTTTGCATTATTGTGAGGAGCATTTTAATCTAAAGAGCTATTTTGTGTGTGTTTTATACAATATATGAACTATGATGTGTGCAATGTGTATTATGTATTGTGTTTTTAATGTATTGTCTGTTACCTTTTGCTGCAAAACTAGTTTCCCCCAAGGGAAAGTAAAACATAAAGATTCTTTTGCGCAATGGAAAGGTTCTGTGGATGCTAAAGGATCATTTTGGAACCACAGATGCTAATAAATAAGTTTTATTTTAAAGTGTACTTCAATTTAACTAGTTATGTTTGTTAAAAAAGCTTTTGATGTCCATGTGTGTTTCCTCTGCGCAGGCTCATCTACGAGCAGCAGACGTCAAGATCTTGAACCAGTTGCTAGCACTGCATGAGGGCATCGAGGCAGTGAAATGGCTCCTGGAAGAGCGTGGCACGCTCACTAGCCACTGCAGTAGCCTGACCAGCAGCCAGTACAGCTTAGGGGAAGGTCCTGACACCTCCTGGAGAGGCAGCTGGAGCAGTCTGCAGGACCCACATGACAAGTTGGACAACATTTCCATTGGCAGCTATCTGGACACATTAGCTGATGATCTAGATGAGTACTGCCCCTCCAGTGGGACTGATTCAAAACTGTGTGCCGCCCCTATAGGGACAGATGGCTCCAGAAGTACTGGAGGAGGCATGGGCAGTTCCACTGGATCTGTAATCAGATCTCCACAAGTCAAATCCGATGCTCTTAAAGAAGAAGCTCAGGTTTGGAATAAAGCGTCTGAGACAGCGAGACCATACCAACCCAACAAGACCAATGGAATCCTGGACAAATCAGTAAAGCAAATGGTCAGCGCAGATTCGGCCAGGGCCTGTCTCGCTGAGAAGCTGGGGAAGAGTCTGAGCCCTAAAGTGAAACCCTATAAGAATGGCAAAGTTGAGCTGGAGAGTTGCAAAATGAATGGCAAAGTTCAACTGGAGTATGACGCACACTGGCGCTGGGTGCAGTCGCAGGATGATGTGACTTTTTTGTGATACTATATGATTAGGAAGCCAAAGGTGTTGTTGGAAGATTTGTCAGGTCCTCTATTCACCACTGAGCTTTTGTTTGCAGGCTTAGAGCTTTGATTATTTTGAGGTTAAGAGGTCAGAAATGGAAAAGAAGCTTAGACCTGTGTGTGTGTGTGTGTGTGTGTGTGGGGGGGGGGGTTAGGGTCAGGGTTAAAGAAAATCCTGAATTAATTTCTTAAGACTCTACGTCAGGTTGTGTAGATGTTTATGGACGCATGTTTTCTGTGATGGCATCTATTGATTCAGCACAACTATTTATTGAGTCAATAACTTTATTGCATACGTCAGTACATTTCTTTCATTTAAATAATGTAATTGCAATTTTGTGTGTTTTTGTTAAGCTTTTAGAGATTATAAATATCAAAACAGTCTTTAGAAACAAAATGAAAACTTCACAAAATGCAGTCCTTTATGTATTTTGTGCATACACTAACACTACCCCTGAAAAGTTTGGGGTTGGCAAGATTTTTTTTTTTTTTTTTATAAGGCGGCATTTATTATTGCAAAAATACAGTGAAATATTATTATAATTTAAAATAACTGTTTTCTATTTTAATATATTTTAAAATGTAATTTATTCCTGTGATGGTAAAGCTGAATTTTCAACATCATTACTCCAGTCTTCAGTGACACATGATCCTTCAGAAATCATTCTAATATTCTGATTTGGTTCTCAAGAACACTGTTAATATCAGTGTTAAAACAGTTTATTATTAATGCATCATATTTTTGTGGAAACCATGATATTTTTCTTCAGAGTTCTTTGAATATAGAAAGTTCACAAGTGCATTTATTTGAAATAGAAATCACAATTTGCAACAATACGTGCTTCTTTATTGTCACTTTTGATCAATTTAATGCATCCTTGCTGAATACATTTCAAAAGAGTGCACAAATGCTTACATTTGGCATTTCCTTAATATTTTGAAGTGGACCAAAGTTTGTTTAGCTAAAACAATCCAAAAGCTTGAAACCACAGCAACTTCGTTACAAAATCAGAAAATGCTTTTTTCCTGACCATTTTGTATGACCTTTCTGCTGATTACAGTATGGACAAAATGAATTGTATAGCATTTGCTCTTAAACTGTAGGGAATGTTTAAATCATGTTCTATTTTACTACCAAAGTCTTAAATCACCTCAGAGTGTTTTCCTTTGAGTGCAAATCTAAAAGGTCAAAGAATAAATCCATTCTGAATACCAAGCATGTTCCCATCTGTTACAATGTGACCCTGAGTCCAGAATCAGCAACACCCTTGTGTTGCCTTTGATTATTGATTACAATAATTTACAATCAGAATGTCATTTTTATATATATATATAATTGTTAATTTGAACACTGCTTGTAGTTTACTCTTTGTAAGAATGCTTATAATCAATCATTAAAATGCTTATTATGTAAATCTAATCAGGTAAACCATGGGTTAGCTTTAAGTAGGGTCCTGTTTTGGAGTAGTACTGTTTTTATTATTCAATTAAATGAGTTTGAAAAACAGGAACAGGATATTAAGAATGTCATACAAATCTTATTCCACTACACAGATCCAATGGAGTAATAATGCTCACACAAACGCATGGAGACCAGTGGTTGTGCTGTGATCTTTGCATTTGTAATGTGTCTTTTCCTTGTTATTTAAAAATTCCGCACCACAAGTGCACTTTTAATTTAAAGTAGTTCAGATTGCTAACTCTTACCAGTTACTCAAGTTCTATATGTGGTGTAACTTTGAATATAATCACAGTGTTAGCACTGACTGGATATAATCCTGCATTGTCTATGTTTTGTATGCCAAAAGAACTGCATTGATGTAAAAAAAAAAATTATGTCTAACGCAAGAACTGAAAGTACTACCAGTATTCAATAATTTAACACATGTGTTATGTAATAAAACACCATACTGTATTTATGTGGTCATCTATTTTGTGCTGAAAAAGAGGAGCGTATTATATAAACTTTTTCTTATACCACAAACACCCACTCTCAGTTAATAATGCCTGTGCTTCTAGAGAAAGGGTTTCCATGTCTACAGAATTCATGTGTAACATGTTAATGTGTGTCATTCAGCTGTTTGTTTGAGTCAGGGAAATGGAAAGGACACATCCCAGAGTCCACTGTGTGAAGAGCTGGGTTATGGCAGGAACAGGTGAAGATGTTGGAGTGAGATGGTGAGGATGATCAAAGAGAAGCGAACGAGTATTAAAGGGATAGTTCACTTTGAAATTAATTTTTGATATTTTTTAGCTTACCTCAAGGGCATCCAAGATGTAGGTGTCTGTTTCCGCCTTTCACTGTGAAGATCTAAACATATTTAGATATACAGGAAATAGCAATGGAAGATGATTTCGATATATCTAAATATGTTTAGTGAAAGGTAAAACTTCCGAAATCTCTGTGTGAACAAAGAGTGATGTAGACGCGCAAGCGATCACTTCCGGCTCATGCGCAGACCGAAGCGCCCGTGCCTTCAGATCAGTTGGACATGGCTGTGGTTACACAAGGTAAAAACTATATAAATACTGTTCGTTTTCTCACACAAACCGCTCATTTCGTGTCTTAGGCCATCAATGTGTACTTACATTTATGGGTCATTAAATCATGTTTAATTTTGACTTCTCTGTGCATGCTCTTTGAGGTGGACCCCCCAAACCTGCATTATGACGGATAGACAACAATGGATTGACCGGAAAATATCAAAATTGAAAATACTGTTGAAACAAAGACACCTACATCTTGGATGCCCTTGAGGTAAGCTAAAACATATCAAAAATTAATTTCAAAGTGAACTATATGCCTTTAAAAGATGAGACATGAATTGGTTGGGGAGAGATTAAATAATATATAAATGGAACCAGGTCCTGATTTTCATGCTGACAAATGGGCGAGATCAGATGAGAGGGTATCCAAAACTCAGACCACAAGTGAATTTTTTAGATTTTTTCTATATAATACTTTTTAATACTTTAGAAGCATTTTTAATGAAAAAAAAAAAATAATTGAAATGAGATTTTCAATTTTCAGATGCACAGCTGAACACTGCTGTGCCCTTTAAGCACCCTTTACTGCTTAAGGGTTCACGACAACACTGTACTAAAAACGGGAATTTTTTTCCTTTGCATTTTTTTTTTTTTTTTTTTTTTTGCTGCGTACAGACTACAACGGATTCACACGAATCTACAAAAACGGAAAAACATGCAGTGTTATGCTTGCCAGGACAGTAGTTGGCGATGACACTTTGTAAACAAACATACTTATGGACTGAACACACTATGCATGAGCTTGTCGTCACCATTTACACAATTAGCGTTTTTGTAGTTTACATGGAGACGGTAACAGTATGGTTGAACAAAAACTTGTCAGGCCCCTAAAACGCTATTGTTGTGATTATAAATGAATGACCAAAACGCAAACAAAGTTTTCCGTTTTTAATTAAGAATGGTGTCATGTAAACATCAGAATCTTATACAAAAAGTCTCATGTAGCCAATTGGCTTTTTCGTTCCTTCAGCCACCATGTTTAATTTATAATTACTCCTATACCTTTTACTATAAAGCAAAGAAAAGAGTCCTATAAAGCAAAGAAAATAGTGAATGCTACAAATTCACAGAAGCATCTTTTTATCTGCTTGCTAGCCAAAAGTAGCAGTCAGCTGATGTGAAAAACAAACGACGATTAGCATTTACGTTGAACGTAACTTGTTATAAAGCTTTTGCATTGGAAATTTTGTAGGTAAAAATGACATTCCTCAGCACAGGCACAGCTGGGTACTAATTCACCTAATAGGTTCCAAATGAGACATTGTTGCTTAGTTAGCATAGTGGTTAACCCTCTGTGTTAAATGGGCTTTGTTAGTTAAATGCAGTGTAGGCTTCCTTTCTCAACACCTAACCACACAATAAAGCATCTCTGCACCTATAAAACTTGTTTGGGTTTTAAAAAAATGTTTTATGCTGACTTACCATAAATCATGCTCACTTGCCAAGCGCAGTAATAGTAGCTGTCTAGCCAAAAGGAATTTAATTGGTTAGATTCTGACACAAACTCATCATTGTGCATAGTGTATTTGCATGCAATTGTGTTTTTTTTTCTTTCACTATGTGTAATAGGCTTGCAAGTGGTTTCGTTATGTGTATATGGCATTTTATTTCCTATTACTTCAGCAAAATTGTTGGCAAGTACGGACACACTTGATGCCAAAGCCTGAGTTTTTTTCCATTCAAGTTGTTATCTGCTATTTAAATCAAGCTATCCTTTTAGAGAAAGTATATTCTTCTTATAGGCTATATACACACTATATATATATATATATATAGCTATATAAAACAATCTTTTGAGTTACCACGTTGTTGCCTCATCACACCAACTCTGCTTCACATAGTCTCAATTACATAACATCCCACCAATTTTTTTTTTATCTTTACTTTTGTAAAAGACTCCAGACAGAGTGACTAGGGTTTATCTAAATGAATATACTGTAAAATGCCTTTGCCGGAACGATTTGCATGCAATGAGGAACAGAGAGACGATGAAAGAAACGTCCTCCACTGTTTTACTCAACGCATTCTCACCCCCAAGGCGTCACCTTTTGACCATGCTTCACTATTCGACGCTTTAGGCGCCCTGCGTCAGTTACATGACGCGATCCTACGGCGTCATCTAATTGACACTAAAGGAAAAGCGTCGGGCATCATCTAACTGACGCTAAAGGGCGCCTAAAGCGTCAGATATTGAAGCATGGTCAAAATGCTTCCCAGGGCGTCAGTTAGGTGACGCCTTGGGGGTGAGAATGGTTTGCCAGTGCCTGACCATTTCTGAAAGAATGTGGACTGTTCAGGGTTTTCACACATTTTCCTTGTTGTTTCATTTACTTACATCTGGTGTGCCCAAAGAATTGTAGGAAATGCTTGTGGAAAACCCCTTGCGATTAAAATCGATGCATAAAAAGTGCTTGAAATCAACAGCAAGAAAGGAAGCGCTAATCATTGTACAATGTGCTATTGAATAAAAACGAAATAAAAAACATACACACACACGCACTAAAAAAAATGTTGTTGTTTTTAAAAAAATTCCAAGGGTTGTGGTTATTTGATCAAAAAAAACGGCAAAATTTGTAATAATGTGAAAT